TGAAGTGTGTGCCTTCAAAAACACGCAACATTGGTGGACACAAGCTCGCGTTTGACCACCCTGAATGCAGACTAGGCCAAGTAGCGCTGACTTGATTTTTTGGCCTCATTGCCTTAAGTATGCTTGCAACATAATCTTCTGATATTGTGGGCCTGTTTCCATTGTTTCCGCTAGCCTCTGGCATGTTCCCACTGCCCAACTAGCCTGGGGCCTGTTCCTGTTGCTCCTCTAACTTCCTCCTTGCATCCTCAAAGTTCCTCCAAACTAATCTGATCTTAGATTCTGCCGAGACTGGTGTAGTTTTTGCATACATTTTACTTAGATTTTTACCTATAGCAGATTCTTGTCAGTTTTAGAGATATTTTCAGGTTTCAAACATTTCCAAATATGTTAAGTGTGCATATCAGTGCAGCCAAGATTGTCTGATCCACACGTGGTGTACGTCAGGTTATAGAACATGGGCAGTTCAGCTCCAAGTTAACTTAGTTAAATATTGGTTAGAAATATGCAAAACTTTTTTTGGAAACATTGGAGGCATTCAGAACTAGGACATGTGATGAATTCCATCTGGAAAACTTCACAGCTTCATTATTTATACCTCCAAACATTTGTGGTGAATGTATCGCTGCACAGATTGACAGTAATATTCATCTTTACATCCATATCTGATAATGAGAGCTAAACTTGATGCTGCTCCAGCCAGAGCAGAAGTTAAACAATGTGTGTTTGAGTGGTAGAAAATGATATACAGACACTTTTTCATAAGAAGATTATGGTGCTTGGTGCTAACCACTGTATTCTGATTGTGCCATGCAGCTGCTGTAGTTAACAAACCCTGTCAAGGTGTGCTCAATGCTTTTAGGTAAATATTTTGTACTGTTATGTGGGGAAAGCCAAAACAAGCGCTCAAAGCACAAGACTACAATAATTATTCTGAGAACTAAAAAAGGAATCATGTGAAAGTTTTGCATTGCTGCAGAACAGTTTTCATATAACGGCTTGCAAGGCTAAGGTGTTGGAAAAAGAGATCATTGATGGGCGTAGTGGGCTGAGGTATTGACCTAGCAAAATGGCACATTACCAACTGTGCAATCCTGTTCAGGCCACTCTCCAGCTTTACCTTTTTATGGTGAGGCGTTGTTCAAAAGCTAAAAATGTCCAACCTTTTGGAGCTACAGTTTTCTTTGTAGCTGTTCAGTACCATTACAATCATTGCTGCTGCCAGGGAGATACAAGGGATATTACCATCCAAATGGGCAGTGTGCAGCTGACTTAATTTGAAAAGGACAGTGTAGACCTATTGCGTCTCCCCTGTCTGTCTGTGTTGTGAAGGAGATGAATCAAGGGTAGGGGCAAATCAATGTTTGGGACATTTTAGTTGATGCATGTGTCTGTTGTGGCACTAGTTTCTTTTTTAAAGATTTGATCCAGACTCTTTCGACAGGGGATTTCTGGGATCAGAGCTCACACAAAGCAGTGCTTGCACAAGTCCTGACCCCTACCATCCGATCATGCCATCCCAGACAACAGCTGGAATTAGTGACAAAAGCTTAACATGGTGCCCGAATGCGAATGCTGGGCGATGTCCGTCTTGTCCTCTAAGGTCACCTGGCTTTTTGCGCGATGCTGCCACTGGCCACAGGCCATACCTGTGAAGGGCAAATAGGGAGCATTTAAAGTGACAGAACCGACCTCGCCACAGGTTGGGTTGATCGGAAGGCATATATATATATAGATGATGGTTTATCTAAGAATTGTAGGAAATAGTCCCAATTGGCTTTCAGTGGTCCAACTTCATCAGGTTCAAATACCACCCTTGTTATGTATGCATGTATGAAGCTTGTTTAGCTTTGCCAGTGTTCCTCCTGGCTAATCCCATGTAATCTTCTCACATATCAAGTCCAGAGTATTGCAACATTATAGAAGGCTTTTGTTTCAGATCAGCGGACAAGCTGTCAAAGTTCAGTGGAAGGGCTGCTTTTCTTACAGTTGTCATTCATGATTATCATCAACCCCATGTGTCATGTGCTAGTTAATCAATTCTATGAAAGGATTGGGAGGGGGTATCAGTACCACAAATGGTTTAATTGTTCAGACTCATCCTCATTTGGTTTGAATCCTGGTGATCCCGGAGAGAATTCGTGCTGTGCTGCATATATGGATGGAAGGCAGACAGCCTCCAGTCTTTCAGGACTCAGTAATGCCTCACTACAGCTGTAGAGTTAGCTGGCTTGAAACATTGTGTACTTACCAACACACCTGACAGAACAGTGGTCCAAACAATTTTTTCCATCCATGATCTGCTGGTTTGTTTTGGTCTGGGTGCACGTCAGACATTCAAAATGTGTCGCGGTCTGAGTGTAGAACAATGATCAACCCTTCCTGCGATCTGTTTGTCACTGACTAATGGCCAAAGAACTTTCAGCGAATGTGTCATGAAAAATTATCGCTTCATGAAATACTTAAATTGACCACAGGCGGAGCCGGAGGTGAACCCCAAGGCGTACCCATTGGCGGACGCCGCTCTCACTGCCAAGATCCTGAACCTGGTGCAGCAAGCTGCTAACTACAAGCAGCTGAAGAAGGGGGCGAACGAGGCGACCAAGGCGCTGAACCGTGGGCTGGCCGAGTTCATCGTGATGACAGCCGACGCCGAGCCGCTCGAGATCCTGCTTCACCTACCTCTGCTGTGCGAGGACAAGAACGTTCCCCTATGTCTTCGTGCGCAGCAAGCAGGGTGAGCCGATGCTGATGTGAGGGAACTTACAGAAATGGGGATCACTTGCAGTGTGTTGATGGGAGTATTTTTTTTAATCTGGGTGCATGCATGCACCCAGATTTAACCATGGTGGTTGGTGCTTGTTTTACTTCACCTCTCAACGGAGTATTTGGTGCTAGGCGCAAGTCGCTCATGACAATTAATGATAAAGTGGCTCGGGTCGTCGGCCGGTCGTTGGGGGTTTATGACGCACTCAGCTGCTGAGGCTATATGGCGTCGCCTGCCTCTCACCGTGGCAGGAAGGGCGGGCACCGCGGGGAATCGAACCCCGTACCTTTGGTTTCCCAGACGCGCAGTGGGTCGACGCAGGCGCGTTAACCACTGCACTACCGACACCCCTGGCTCAGGTGGGAGGTACGATCCCTGAATCATGACCGGTACTCAGGCCATTCTTGAACTCTGACCTGTGCCGTAATCCTGCTGGCGTGGTATTGGTTGGCCTAACGCTGAGTTCTGATGCCTCTGACACCGTCAATGCTCTGCCCGATTGGTGGACTGTGCCCTGACCTGTGACCCTGCCTGACCCTGTGACCCGTGTCGCCAGCGCTGGTCGCGCCTGCGGCGTGTCCCGTGCCGTCATCGCCTGTGCGGGTCACCGTCGACGAAGGCTCGCAGCTCAAGCCGCAGATCCAGAGTCTCCACCTGGGAGATTGAGAAGCTGCTCATCTAGGCGGCCGGCCCGCCGCCGCCGCCGCCCGGTCGGCTGACTGTGACGTCATCGGAGACGGGGCGGGTTTCTGGTGACGTCACTGGATGACGTCCGACGCGGCGTCCCGTCACGGGTGTGTGCGAAGCTTTTGTGGTCGGATGTGTCATTTCGTCGGCTCCGATGTTGTATCGACCAGAACGTCATATTGCGTTGTTTCATTCATCGCGCCTGTTTGAACGATCCCGCGTCTCTATATGGCGTCGCCGACTGTTCTGATGGCCACCCAACTATCAGGGAGTTGTCTGTTAGCCGCGCGGTGGGGTGCCGTTTTGAGCTATTCCAAATGATGGGAAGGAAATCCATCATAGCGCCAGGAGTGATTTTTTGACAAATACACGACACATTGGCATAACGGCTTGCGTCCATCTTCGGAGACAGACCGGGATTGAACATGATGAATGGCGCGCCCGGAAGCGGGGCGTGCGGCGAGGTTTCCCAGTCATCCAAATATGTTGTGTGAGTTATTGAGTTTCTGTTGGGTGCGTTCTGGCACATTGCAGATCGTCCAGTACAGTTGCAACATTGTGGATCGGCCATGCTGTTGCAACATTGTGGATCGGCCAGTGCTGTTGCAACATTGTAGATCGGCCAGTGCTGTTGCAACATTGTAGATCGTCCGGTACCTGCCGCAATTTACTGCATTTACCTAGTGCGACGCGGCGGTCTCAGTGCTTGCATCACTAAACTAGTTAATATAACGTTCCAGGTCTTACGTTGCTCTGCGCGAGACGTTTTCGTAGATCTCGTCTTCGTAAGGGCTCCGTCGGCGTCAGGTATTGCGAAACATGCAAGGCAGGATGCTAGCGGGAATGCCAATGTGATGCCAATCCCAGACGCGTGGGGGTGAGCGTGTAGCAGCGCCGGGGCCCCTGCGTGCTGCCTGGCAGCGGTTTTGAACGGGCTATGTAAGTGAAGCGATTGAGGTGGGGGACGCCGAGGCACGGGCCCCACCCCTATCAAAGTTTTGTTCGTACGTAGACACTTGAAGATTTCTTGAAAATTGGAGAAACGAAATGAACAACCGAAAACTAACCTAAGTGCAAACTGGCCGTGCTATAACAGTGTCATGAAAGAAACTAAGCGTTTATGTTGCGCGTGTGATGCTATTTGTTTTGCAATGAATAGAGCTGCACCCCTTCCCCCTGGGAAATCCCGCTCACACCCCGGATGATTGCAATGCGTTGGCGCGGATTGTCAGTCACATATTGAATATTCCATGAGGGAAGTGTTTCACATTTGCATGGGGTATTGAACCAAAATAGACCTATTGAAGATCATGCAGTGCAGTTTGCAGCCATACCCTTTTAAATTTAAGAATATTGTTGGTCCCGAATATCACCCTGAATACACATGTAAATCTAGTGCCGACATGAACGCTTTTTATATCAACATAGACACCTTCAGGGGGGTCGGTGAGGAGAAAATCAGAGGAAAAAAATACGGGAAGACAATATTGACACTCTGAAAGACATTTGACTGCGCTGCGTTTCTTGCATGCATTTAAATGGTCCTCCACGACGCTCGGCATGTATCCGGGGTTCTATCTGTAAAATTAGGGTGGTAACTTGCACGTAAACGATATTTTCGAAGACAGCACCCAGGTGGGAAGGGTAACAGCGTTTTTTCTCTGGCCTCGTTTATGCTTATTTCTATTGCAGATGTCTAGCCGAATAGTTTCAGAAATGGAAAACACTGACTTGATCACATTTTCCCACACCTGGGAGTTGCTAATCTTTTCATTATGTGAATATGAAATAGCGGTATACGTCAGCCAACCATTCAGTGATGTAAACTATGTAGGTGACCTTAATGACAAAAGCAATGTTAATCAACTTATAACTGACCATTGCTCAGCATTTGCTGAAGGGACATCATGCAGGAAACTTTGGCTCTGCAGATATGCTGATATGCAGAATATTATTTATATGTATATGTCGTGCCTGAGGTAGAAGGATGGGTACTGTTGCCGACTCCCCATCCTGTGGCTGTGGAAATCACTTCTTTCTTAACAGATAAGTTGAAGTCCCTTTGAATAGATGGATTTCTGGGATGAGAGCCTATGCAAAGCATTGTTTGCCATGTGAACCCTGACCTACACCATGTAATTATGAAATTTCAGGCCAGCATCATAGTTTGGTGGCTAAAGCTTAACATGTGCCCGGGTGGCCAGCTAGATACAATTCACTCGGGTGGGGGGTCGGTTTGACCCCCCTGATATCCCGGGAACTAAGAGAGCTAGACACCAAATTTGCAGGATATGTTGATCTGTATGTGAACTCGGGTCAAAATTTGAGGTTTGTAGGTCATGACTTTGGGGTCAAATCAGGTCAAACAAGGTCAAGTTCCTGGTTGGTTTCCAAAGTATCTCCACAATCCAGCTATCTGTTTCTAAGCAAATAGTCACATGCTCATTCATGGTCAGTAACCTTTTTTGACCTTTTGAAGGTCATGGTGACCAAAATCATGCAAAACTGTTCTGAGTGTTGCATGTGGATAAGTGACAAAGATTATGCTGGGCAGTATGTCTCAAAAAAAGAAAAATGTTGACTGGGGTCATTTTAGCTCAATGACCTATTCTGACCTGTCAGAAGTCCATGGACAATGTATAATGTGGTTTCTGTGTTTAGTAAATTTGAAATGAGCACCAGAAAGTACCCCCAAACAGCAAGCCCTAGATTGATAAAACAGGTTGGTTTTGAGCTTGGTCTGACTTTCATACCTGACCTTAGGTCAAGATAATTTGCTCATTCAGTATTTGCATTGCCTAATAAATCCATTTCAGAGATGTGTGACCTTGTCTAACTCTCCATTGTTGCATCAGATTGAACGATTCCCTAGAACTTGTCTTCGCTGAAACCCTAGCTTGGCTTGACCTGCCATAGGTCAACAACCTTACAAGGCCGCAAGGTCGCATCTAATTTTTTATACCAAACAATCTGCTATTCAGTTGTCTACAGCTGAGAAAAATTTGGCGCGGCTGTGCCGCGCCGCTCAGAAACCATTCTGGAAAAAACCTGTGGGAGGCTCAATTGACCCCCCACCAAGCACATGTTAATGTGCCCCAATGCTTGGCAAGATCAGTGTTTGCCTAGCCATAAGTTGTATGCTAGTGGGAAGAACCCATTTTGGTCACATCAGCCATGAAAAGACCCTGTTTCTGTTTGTACACCTTTTTTTCTCCTGTGCAATGGTGTGTGATGGTGGTGATGTCCAGTTTTGAAGGGGTAGTTAGGAAGCAAAGATATTTTATAGCCACAGCAGGATTTTTTCCAACCCATCCTGGTGATGTGTTTGGCATGCTGCAATATATTTCAAGATGATGTGTTGAATGTATGCTCATTGATTGTCTTAGCTAATTTGCAGGTGAATATAACTAAAAGCAGCAATCTGCCTGTGTGATGTCTTGTGGTTATTTTACAGCCACAACACTGCCCAGCCATGTCAGAATGTTCAGTACTAGAGGCTGCCTTACGGGTGAGTTCTGCAGTTATGAGCTGATCAGTCTTTGGTGTATGTGACACATGAGTTGATGGTTTGTAGTGATGCCAGACTCACACAAATGCATCTGATTCTGCAATGCTCTGGGAAGTTAAGCTACCATTTTATTGCATGTTAAGGTTTTCAATAGGTACCTAACAGTTCACAGCAAATGGTCTCCTTGCTTGCTGATGATGCTGCCTTTGGCTTTACATTCTCTCATGTCACCAGCTTTCACAGCGCTGTAGTGCTGTGGAAGTGACTGGCTCAGTTTTTTCTCTCATGTAGTTTTTGTCGTGTCTCTCAAAATGGAGTGTGGGTTTGTTTGTTTGGGGCTCCCACATTTCTCAACCTGGACAGTGTTTGTTACTGGACGAATTTGAAGCATGTATATTTGGTTTAACATCTTGCACTTACAGATATTTCCATTTTGTATGCCATTTATGTGCAACTTTTTCCACATTGCCCAGTAAGCCACCCTTATTGCACTGTTGAATGAGAGAGATTTTCCATTGCCACTCCTCCAGCTAGTTCTGACTATGTTTCAGCACAACCCGCTTTTTTTCCTGGCGGCTCCAAACACACTGAAGAAGCGAACAGAGGCAAATTCAGAACCCAAGTAAGCTGCCGTCGATCAATCCGTTGTACGGAATCTCCGTAGCATATGTATTTCATAAACGTAACACCTGTTAACGAGCCGTTGATGCCTGTAGCTAGTTTAAGTATTTACTTTCGCGTATAAAATCACCGGTTATATACGTTGCGCGATGGTATTTTTGTGTCGACCTGCCCGATGGTTTAGCGGACGCACCACCGCCAGCGCGGAGCCCCGATCCGCAACAGTCCCCCGGTCACTTGTGCGTGTCTGACCTCTGCGCTGCGTCCAGGGCAGCCTCGGGCGGCGACCAGCGGCGGCTCCGGGCCGCTGGACGCCCCTGCGACGCCGGAGGACCGACTGAGCGGCGCGGGTCAGCCCCAGCGCGCGTGAGTTCGCCCCCGCCCGCCGCCACCCGCCGCCGCCTGTCGGCTCCCGCACGGCACAACGGTCCGCGCCGGGTGTGGAAGTGTGGCCTGCCGCCCGGCCGTGACCCCCGGCAGCGGCGCTGGCCTCGTGGCCAGCGTCGTTCATGACCGTTGGTCTTCGAGGCAGACCAAAACTGTTGGAGTAGGACACGCAGAGAGCGATGAGTGGACATGACTTTACCGCGCAATTACAGTGCACCATGTTAGGACATTTGCTAGCACTATCGAACTTGTGCCCAGCTGCCATGCCTTTCAGACAAGCGTCAAATACTAATTTCCCGCCACCCCAGGTGGTTCAGGAATGTTCACGCTCGAGGACCACTGCTGTATTTGTATTCGCCAGCTTGTACGCACCGGACTGTCGTGAGCGGCGGTGGTTTGCGAAATTGCACGTCAAATAGTGCAGAGATTAGGAAAGAATAGACTCGAGTTGGTGGTGGGGGTAACTGTAGGGAACAGTATAGACTTCGGTTTCGAGTTGGCCACTGGTCGCGTCCCGTGTTGGCGGGGTCGCTCGCGGTGCGTGACGTCACGTTACAGGACGCCCCGGTCGTGGATCGCGGAGCAGAATGTCGCCTTCATTAAACGGTCGCCTTGTCCGGCGAAAGCGTTCACGAGCTCCAGTCCGAGTCTTCTAGTGGTAGCCTTCACCTGGTCTCACGACACTCATGATCCGACGCTCGCGGTCGGGGGCGGCGATGGTTCATCAGCAGGCTTAACAAGTGCGTGGACAAGACACCACCACGTGCCTGGAGCGCTCTGTTGACGCTCTGTGCTCGTTGTGCAGGCTTCGCAGGCGCACCACCACGTGCCTGGAGCGCTCTGTTGACGCTCTGTGCTCGTTGTGCAGGAGTCCAGGCGCCCAGACTCTCCTCATCGAAGGCGCTCAGTCGGCACGAGCGCAGGCGGCGGAAGCTGCAGGCCCCTGCTGGCGGTGGTGCTGCACAATGACAGGACGCGGGATGGCGGCAAGGTGGGACTGCCCGCTCGCCATGGATGGCTACAATTAGGACTTATGGATATCACTACTTCATGGCTGTGTGGAGCTCAGCTCAAGTTGAATGCTGTATGGCGGTGGCCTGATTTTAATATACAAAATTCCGATCATCCAGTAACACCACGGGATGGGGAACACCTCTCCCAAAAGGAACAACGTGAAGAGTTTTTGGAACAAGATAATACGCACGCCAAGGACGAAAAGCCAGGCTTTGATACAGTCTGGCACACAGTATGGTGTGTCACCTGAGTTTATGGTGACCACATCTTGCGCTGATGTTTAAATGCGGCGGCAGGGAGCGGCCTCCGACGAGCACGAGTGTCGGGCGGGGAGACGGCCCCGACGGCAGGCTCCTCAGCAGCAGACACGACACAGGTGGGCATTATGACGTCGGCGCGAGAAAGGAAGATGTGACGTCACGGACGAGTCCACGAGTTGTGAAACCACAGATCAGAACGATAATTGTGACTTCAGAAGTGCAATGGGCTCATAATTATGTTTGCGCCTGACATGAGGGCTGCATAGCATGTGAGCATTCTTCAAGTGGTTGTTTTGATCCATTTGTCGGCGCTGCCGACTCCAGACCAGCAGGACACTGTTGTTTCCCCATCGTGCCGTGGCCACCTGAACAGTACCTGCCGCGGACTGTAAGCTGCCGCCTCGCTACGGCGAAAACGGAGACCAGAGCATCAGTTGGCAGCTTTGTGGAGTCGGTGCATATATATATATATATATAATATATATATATATATATATATATATCTATGTGTGTGTGTGTGTGTGTGTGTGTGTGTGTGTGTGTGTGTGTGTGTGTGTGTTGTGTGTGTGGTGTGTGTGTGTGTGTGTGTGGTGTTGTGTGTGTGTGTGTGTGTGTGTGTGTGGTGCTGTGTGTGTGATGTGTGTGTGTGTGTGTGTTGTGTGTGTGTGTGTGGTGTGCGGGTGCGTGTGCGTGTGCTGCGTGTGTGTGTGTGTGCAATGAGGGATGCAGGCTAGTTAGAAATCGCGTCGGAAGTGGTTTCAACGCCTCCGAGGCCCCGCGCCCACGTGGCAGCACTGTACGCCTGTCGGCTCCTGCTTGCGGTCAGCAGCGCCGTCTGACCGCTGTTCCAGGCGGAGCCGTCGGACGAGATCAGCGCCGACGACTACCAGGCGATGCGCAGCTCGCTGCGGCGGAAGCGGAGGAAGGAGGTGAGCGGCGGCATGGCCCCAAAAGTCACTCCCGTGGCTGTGTATCGGACTGACGCTGCGACTTGCCCGTGATAGTTAACCCCTTCATCGACCCGATTGGAGCTAATGACCGGACCTACCAGAAGGGCCCAGTTCATAGGCACAGCCAGCACTGCAGCGCTACAAGTGTCCAATCCGTTGTGTTTCTGGGTTCCGGGTTGTCTTGATGGCCTGACCCGGTGACCTGTTCCGTTGGTGACCTGACCCGGTGACCTGACCCGGTGACCTGTTCCGTTGGTGACCCGACCACCGTGACCTGTCCCTTTGGTGACCTGACCTGGTGACCTGCTCCGTTGGTGACCTGACCCAGTGACATGATCCATTGGTGGCCTGACCCGGTGACCTGTTCCGTTGGTGACCTGACCCCGTGACCTGGTCCGTTGGTGACCTGCCCCGGTGACCTGATCTGTTGGTGACCTGACCCGGTGATCTGTTCCGTTGGTGACCTGACCCCGTGACCTGTTCCGTTGGTGACCTGATCCGGTGACCTGTTCCGTTGATGACCTGACCCGGTGGTACCTGTTCCGTTAATGACCTGACCCCCGTGACCTGACCCGGTGACCTGACCCGGTGACCTGTTCTGTTGGTGACCTGACCCGGTGGCCTGTTCCGTTGCAGCGGTGCCCGGAGTTCCAGCTCTCCTCCACGGGCGACCACGCCTCCCTGCTAATGGCCGCCCACAGCAGGACCCCATCTTATGCGGGACGTGCAGACGCTGCTGTTGAACGCGGTCGTGCCGGGACCACGCGCCCTGGCCTACAGGTCCGTACTGTCGAGACGTCCTGATAGGGACTCAGGCATACGTCTGACGCCGTGACCGGGCAGGCGTGCGCCGCGCGTGCTCGGTTTGCAAGCTCGTTACTGCATACTACAAGGCGTAAATGATTTCCAGCGTGGGATGGCGTTAGCTCGCGGAAACCTGCACAGTCGATCCCGTGTGTAATGAAGCATGACACTCGTTCTTAGAGACGTTGTAACATAGCATGATATGGATATCTCTGATAATGATATCGCACCACAACCGAGCCCTAAACGCGATTCGTTTGGCGCCCTTGTTCCTTCAAGCATCACCTCGGCCACCATTCCCTTCACGTGGTGTGACGTGCCGCTTCTGTTCATCAACAGGTGGTGTAACCTACTGAACGCGGACCGGATCTCCCGCACGGTGGCCATGGTGGTGGACGGCCTCTCGCTGCGCGACCTCCAGCTGCCCAGGACCTGATGAAGTCAACGCTGACCCTCTTCCCGCATCAGGTACGGCCTGGACACGCCTCCGACCCCTCCCCCCACCGGACTAGGGGACGTCGCAGCTGCGCTGCCTATTTGTGTGTCGCTTCTCATACAATGGATGTAATCAGCTTTCAAACATGTATTCATAAAGATGATGATAGCAGTGAGTGCACTTGAAGTATGTTGATTGATGATGATTGTATGTTGATTTCACTCTCTACACTGTCGTTCCGGTAGGGGTTTGGCTGCCATGCTGCCCGCCTTGACCCGTGGTACTGACCCCAGGCACGTGACTGATGAGGTGCGATGCGACACGAGGTGCCGAGAGACACAGCTACCATTCACCGCTCCGTTCAGGTAGCGATGGCGGGGCACGATCCTGACCGTTGACGCGAGATGGCGCTGCCGCAGACGGAGCTGATCTCGCCGGCCCACTACGGCACCAGCGTAGCCGAGGAGATCCTGAACGTGCCGCTCAGCATGACGCAGAAGCACCGGCTCGTTCAGCGTGAGCAGCATAGTGCACCCCCAGCGCTCGGGCCTGGCGTGCCACCACCCATCATCGGCATGTAGAAAACCCCCGGCTTCTCTGATCCCGATGACATTACGTGATGGGGCTTGAGTGGCTGTGGAGATGCTCGCGATCGGCACATTTGGGCTCGATTCCAGCCAGAGGGAGCTGCCTCTGTCCCACCTCCACACGAGCATGGCGACACTTAGGGTTCGCTGATACATGGGGCGTGACCGGAGGCGTCCCACCGACCGTGAGGTCATCCGATGACTGATCACGTCCTGCCGTCCGCCGCGATACATGGGGCGTGACGGAGCGTCCCACCTGACCGTGAGGTCATCCGATGACTGATCACGTCCTGCCGTCCGCCGCGATACATGGGGCGTGACTGGAAGCGTCCCACCGACCGTGAGGTCATCCGATGACTGATCACGTCCCGCCGTCCGCCGCCACAGAGCTGGGGAGTCTGGACGGAGCCGTGCAGGCGGGCCTCATCCACCGGCAGTGGGGCGACACCAGCGCCCCTGGCGGCGGCGGCATCGATCTGCCCCAGGCGCTGCCGCAGCCGGCGGCCATTGGGCGCACGGCGCTGCTGCTGGACACTCGCAGCTGATGGAGGAGGAGGGCTACCCGCTGCCGGCGCCGGCCTGTACAGCAAGGCCTTCCGCGGATTCGTGCCCACCAAGGGACAAGTACAAGCCGGTTAGTCTGGGGCTGGAGTGGGAGGGACATTTGAGAGTGGGATGATTTGGTTTAGTGGGTGACATTCCGGCGGATGGTAACTATTGCAATGCCTCAGAAAATGTCTGAAGATTTAGGAAGATGCAGACGTCACAGGTGCCCCGAGACGTGGATGTGCTCTCGTGGCAAGGTTGTGTTCGAGATGGTAGGAAATGGGGAGGGCACGTTGCCGTCGGCGGTAGCCAGTTATCACTTGAGAGACGCAAGCAGCAGACATTGGGGGTTCGGTTTGCTGTGCAGTTGTGCGTGTCACGCTCTTGACATCGACACGATTTGGCCAGGTAGAAGGGCGTCGGCTGATGAGGTCTGCGCCGATCGTTTGCTCCGTCCTCACAACACCGACGTCTCTGACCTGGAGACTGCGATCACACGAACGCGTCTGAAGCAACGGCGTCGTAATTCAACCCTCTCGCTCAGAGCAGCGTGTCGCTGAGGCGCCAGCCGGCCGCTGGTTCCGTGCCGTGACGCCCGCGCTGCTACCCCAGGTCACCGACGACTCGCCGATGTTCGCCGTAGACTGCGAGATGTGCCTGACGCGCGAGGGCAGCGAGCTCACCAGCATCTCGGTGCTGAGCGAAGCCGAGGAGCTGGTGTACGGCACGCTGGTGCGGCCCGACAACCCCATCACCGACTACCTCACCGCTACTCGGGCATCACCGCCGAGCGGCTCGAGGTCAGCCGCCGGCCAGCTGTGGAGGGGGGAGGGGCTGGCAGCGCCCTGTCGTGGACCGCGCCGCCTCTGCGGCTGTGGGGCCTGCGGCGGGCGCCGTCCGGGGATCGTGTGTGCTTGAGACGTGGCCACCGGCTGTTTTTCCGGAGGGACGTAGGTGCGCTTGTGCACGCGTGTTCCGTAAATTCACTGCTTCGCCGGAAAGCAGAATCAAAAGCATTTGGGAGCACAAAACGTGGCATGCGCACACCTAAGTGTTGTTTTAGACCAGCAAGACAACAATGTGACTGAATACATCTGATTTGGTGGGTATTTCGGAACAAAAGAGCGTCGCTGTAACAGATGGACGCGAATGCAACGAATACTTTGGAACGAGCATCTGTGAACATGTTAATAACGCAATCCTTGAAGCCATGTGTGATTGCCACACTATGATGTTAGTCGCCTTATTCAATGCTTTTATGGTCGCGGCGATTGCATTGTTGCATTTACTGCCTTCCACCAACGGCGCGGCTCTTGGGTGACGGCCAATCGCCGGGCTTGTTACATCAGCTCCGATAACATTCCGTGGAACTAATCCGTTTCCCTCCTCCGCCGCCGCAGGGCGTGACCACGAGACTGGAGGACGTACAGCGCGACCTGCGGCGCCTGCTGCCAGCTGACGCCATCCTCATCGGCCAGAGCTTTAACATGACCTGCGCGCGCTCCAGGTGAACTTCTTGGCGGAGGTCGCATCTGGATGGTGGTGGGGGTAGGCCAGGGTGCCCTCCAGGTGACATCCGGGCTGAGATCGGGGCAGGTCAGGGGTGTCGGATCAGCCCCCCCCCCCCAGATTCGTTGAGGGCCGCTGAGATCAGATTAGTTTTATCGATTATGGAAGGATA